TGTTTGGACCATATTTAGTAATAATTTGTAACATGATTTTATAAAAAAAGGTGCAGTTTGTTTTATTGTTTAACACGACCGATCATGGATTTTGTTATATTTTTGCTTTTATATGCTTGTTTCGGAATATGTTTTTCTTCAGAAGTATGCAGCAAGAATGATAAGTAATTATTTTTTGGTATTGCATGTTAAGAAGCAGACAAAGAACGCTTTGCCATTAATATTATCACTTTATATATTTTTGTTCCCTTTTTTGGCAAAACTCCTTCTTATATCGCAACTAGTCTCAAATATATACTGCATCTTTCAATCGTTATCAAAGTGCATCTCACTTTCATTGCATATCAATACAGTTTGAAGTACTGCATAATCCAAAGTAGAACATTTATAAGTTGGATAAAACATTCACTAAATAACCTTTATAAAGTACCTTAGAGTGGAGATCACTTCTAACCTCTCATTTGAACTGTCAGAATAATCTGTCATAGAAATGTTCTAAACTGTCCTAGAACAGTTCTACCTAGAACAGTTCTACCCTAGAACTGTTCTAAGTAGAACTGTCAGAATCAGTTCTAGGTTGAACTGACTAAATCAGTTCTAGGTAGAACTGTCAGGGTCAGTTCTAGGGTAGAACTGTATAAAACTGTTCTAGGTAGAACTGTCCAAATCAGTTCTAATCGTAGAACTGTCAGCAGAACCGACTAAATCAGTCAGGACTGTAGAACAGTTCTAAATGACGTCACTGCAGTAAGGGCATCTTAGAATTTAGAAAAAAAAATCAGTTCCAATTACTTTACTGTATAATAGCAGATTTTCTATATTTTTACTGATCAAACGTTACATGTAACGTTACAAATATCGAAGCGGATAGAAAGGTTATCCAACTCATCGGAGAAATATATTTATATGATTGCATATAAACATCATGTTTTACCTTACTTCGTTACCCGTTTTTAACAGTCTCTTCCAAAATATAACTCTGCATTTAATTCATGGAATTTAATCGTAATTTACCTTGTTTGCCTTGGGTTTACATTCATGATTTAAGATTCTTTTTTGACAAATGTTCAAACGAAAATTGTACAGTGGATGAATTATGAGATATTAATGAAATACGTGTTGTATAAGTATGTACATTTGCACCATCTCGTCAATTTAGACAGACTTATCCATAACGATTATAAATGATATCTGGGAGTCTGGGACGTCAGAAAAATATATTCGATCTGAACATGAATGAAACATTTGCCCCTGGATGAAAATAGGCTACACACAAAATCAATCATTCTTCTTTGCCTTCTTCAAAACATATTAACAGTATACTATTCCAAGAAGAAAACTTCTCAAACATTAAAGTATATGAATCAGTCATGCAGGAACATATATACTGTTCCCAGAGTCATGTGAGTGTTGGATGATGCCGTTAAACAGTTTTGTTTAAAACAACAAACCATCACGAACCACTGACTTTTGTGATGGTTCATTATTATGGATACAGCATGTACAGAGAGGAAATAATGGCACTCTAAATTGATGTGGACAAACTTTTGTAGTCACGGTAGTCATTGTGTTCCAAAGTTGGTGTCATCTTTATCATACGATCCGTCCTGACATAGAACTATTATTGGTTTACAATGAGGCCATATATATTTACATGATAGAGTGTAAACATGTTCAGTTTTGGTTGATGCGGTCAAATACTTTTGTTTAAACGACTCAGTCTGATATATCGAAAAGTACTGAAATTTGTTTACGATTCAATATTTTGAATAAAAAGAGGACATGCTGGTACTCTAAATTAATGTGGAATTTTTTGTGTAGTCTCAATGTGTTCCAATATTGCTGTCATTTGAATTATACAATCCATCGTGATATGTAACTATAAGTGATTTACTATGCGGCTATATATATATATTAAGATTTACATAATAAAGTGCAAATATGGTCAGTTTTGGTTGATGCTGTCACATATGGTCAGTTTTGGTTGATGCTGTCAAATATGGTCAGTTTTGGTTGATGCGGACAAATAATTTTGTTATATGAGTCAGTCTGAGAAATCAAAATTACTGAAAATAGTTTACGATTCAAATTTTTGAAGAAAAAAAAGAGGACATGCTGGCACTATAAACTGATGCGAGCATAATTTTATAGTCAGTGTTTTCCAATATTGCTGTCATTTGTATTATACAATCCATCCTGATATAAAAATATAGGTGATTTACTTTGCGGCTATTAAGATTTACATCATAAAGTGCAAATATGGTCAGTTTTGGTTGATGCGGACAAATAATTTTGATATACCAGTCTGTCTGAGGTATGAAAACTACTGATATTTGTTTATGATGCAATATTTTGAATAAAAAGAGGACATGCTGGCACTCTAAATTGATGCAAACAAAATTTGGTAGTCATTGTATTCCAATATTGCTATCATATACATATACAATCCATCCTTACATAATAATATCACATAAAAAAGAGCAAATATGGTCAGTTTTGGTTGATGCAGACAAATAATTTTGTTACACGAGTCAGTCTGAGGTATGAAAACTACTGGTATTTGTTTCCGATGCAATATTTTGAATAAAAACAGGAAATGCTGGCACTCTCAATTGATGCGAAAAAAAAATTGGTCATTGATTTCCAATATTGTTGTTATTTGTATACTACAGTCCCTCTTGACATAAAATTATAACTGAATTACTGTGCAGCAACATAGATTAAAATTAAAAAAGCAAATATGGTCAGTTTTGGTTGATGCGGTCAAAAGATTTTATTACACGAGTCAGTCTGATGCCTCGTTCACACGTACATTTAATTCGAATTGAATTCGAATCGAATGCGAATCGAATTCGCTAATCGCGTTCACACACTCTTCTTTTTTAATTCGAATTGATTCGAATTGGCTAAAGCGCATTATCCAATTTGCATTAGAAATGCGTTTTTGTTAATACGAATTAAAAATTAACGTCGTTAGGACAGTAAATCAAATTTGACGCGCATTGCAATTCGAGTTAGAATTTACGTTTGGACATTAAACGTTTCGAATGTGAATTAAACTAGTTCGAATTAGTTAATGCGAATCGAATTCGAATTACATGTGAACGCAGCATTAGGTATGAAAACTACTGATATTTGTTTACGATTCAATATTTTGAATAAAAAGAGGACATGCTGGCACTATAAGTTTATGCAAACAAAATTTTGTGGTCATTGTTTTCCAATATTGCTGTAACTTGTATATTACAGTCCCTCTTGACCTAAAATTATAACTGAATTACTGTGCAGCTATATAGATTTGCAGAAAAAAAGAGCAAATAATGTCAGTTTAGGTTGATGCGGTCAAAAGATTTTTGTTAAACGTGTCCGTCCAAGGTATGAAAACTACTCGTAAACAGATATCACATTTGTTTACGATTTAATATTTTGAATAAAAAGAGGACATGCTGGTACTATAAATTGATGCAAACAAAATTTGAAGTCATTGTTTTCCAATATAATTACTGTCATTTGTACAATCCATCCTTGCCTAAAAATATAACTGTATTTCTGCAGTGTGCGGCTACATGTATATAGATTTACATGATGAAGAGCAAATATGGTCAGTTTAAGTTTAATTTAAAAACATATTTATTTATAATAGTGGATTGGGAAACAAGTTATTACATTTGGTTAATGAGGTCAAATGATTTTGTTATACGAGTCATCCTGACTCCCGGAATGACAAATGTAAAACAATTCAAATGATAAAACTAACGACCTAATTTATGTACAAAAAATGAACGAAAAACAAAAAATTTATGTAACACATCAACAAAAGAAAATCACTGAATAACAGACTCCTGACTTGGAACAGGCACATTCATGCAGAACATGGCAGGGTTAAACATGTTGTCTTGATTAAAAATCTGAAATAAGACCGGCAAAATAGCAAAACTCTATATAAATCGCTATTTTGCCGAAGCCTTATATCTAAGACAAAGAGTTTTTGAAACTTATAAATCAATTCTAGCCGTAGAATTTATAAATCAATTCTAGCCGTAGAATTTATAAATCAATTCTAACCGTAGAATTTATAAATCAATTCTAGCCGTAGAATTTATAAATCAATTCTAGCCGTAGAACTTATAAATCAATTCTAGTCGTAGAATTTATAAATCAATTATAACCGTAGAACTGTTCTAGTCGTAGAACTGTTTTGGAGTAGAACTGACCAAAGATTTGGTCAGTTCTAGGTAGAACTGTCTAAAACTGTTCTAGTAGAACTGTCAAGATCAGTTCTAGGTAGAACTGTCCAAATCAGTTGTAGGTAGAACTGTCCAAATCAGTTCTAGGTAGAACTGACCAAATCAGTTCTAGGTTAGAACTGTTCTTGCTAGAACTGTCTAAAAGGTGTCAGGTCAGGCTGACAGTTCTACATACTGTCCTAGAACAGTTCTTCTGACAGATTCTGACAGATTTAATGAGAGGTTAGAAGTGATCTTCACTGTACGTTGATGTCGAAATTATGTAATATAATTAGAGCTCTAGAATTTTAAGACAAACATTTCTAATGAAAATGAATTATGTAAATAATGCCAGTACAAAAGCACCGATTACTGAATTGATGTAACACTCAGGGACTTACAGTCAACCAACTGTGATATAGACACACCTGAGTACAAATGTAATATATAATCTATGAAACACAGTTAAGTACACATGACACATACTGCAAACATTCGTATACCGAAGTTTTCCTGTCGTTGATGCTTATTTGCTGTCTTGCGTAGGGTAATTAAATATGAACTGAAAATGATGAACACTAAACCTCAATGAAAATTAATCACAACGAAACAAGACATTTTTTTTCTGTAAAAACTAAAGATTTCAGAGCGCTTTAAAATGAGTATCCGTTATCAAAACTGATGCCATTTGAGAAAAAAAAATATTGAATGTTTTAATTTCCAACATGAATGATTATGTGTATTAGTTTGTGTTTTCTTTTCATATGGGAACAGGTTTACATCACATGATAAGACATTTTATTTCAAGAAGTACTTCTGTTGTAACAATTATGAACAGCATGCAACTGGATGTCAACGTAAGATTCTGTTTTCCTATTACTTATGAATTGTTATATTTGTAATTTTTGTGCATGATTTTTATGATAAAATATAAAGCGTTACATATTTTAAAAATCCTTTTGCGGAATGGTTTTGCGGAAGTAAGGCGTTGTTGTTTTGATATCCGGTATATGAAATTAATGTCGAATTTGCAGATGAATGTCTGTATGTAAATGACTAACGCTATAAATGTATCATTTTCTGATACATTAAATACAAGTGATTTATAATAAATAATTATTAGCTACACTTCCCCCAAAGGCCTAGTGTTAGCCTATGATATAGCTTTGCGTCCGGTATTTGTCGTCCATCGTCATTTATGAGTGTCCGTCTATAGATAACAGGTACACAAATATTTACCTCTAAAATCACTAATCAAATACAATCAAAATTTGGTCACGAATTAAATTCTCATCACACAATTTTATATCAAATCAATGTTCTGTGTAAATTTATGAGAGTAAAATCATTCGCCATTTTAAATCAAAAGTCATGGATTTCTTTTGCATATCCCGATGCATTACAGTTTAGGTCAATTTGATCATTTCACCCTATCTCGTTTTCTACATCTTTTCGGACTTCGTTTAACCCTTTTTATATAAGCATTTATTTGTTGCTTTTAATTTCGGTTTCATGAAACTTATTATATTCACATAGACTGTTCAATTGGTTTCACTTCTTCTGATGGTTCTCCATGTCTTCCATGTCCGGGAGGTTTTTTCGGTTTCCGATGTGCGGAGAAATGTGATTGTCATCAAGATCAAAGGTATTACGATAGAACAATACACATACATTTAATTGAATAACAGATATTTCATACTGATTAATATGGTGTTTTAAACTATTGAATCAAATATATCATGCAACATTTGCTGATGTTTTTACTGAACTTTCTTTATAAATATATCTAAACGGTAAAGCTTTTCCGATTAGATATAGTTATTGTATATTGGACGAAATTGCATTCTATTCTTTCTCCTAAATAGTGTCTACCCTGAAAATTACAGCGATTGTATTGTCATGGCCGTGCTGAAAAGATGACTTATCAAACCCTTATAATTGTAGATCAAATATTTATGCTAGTGTATTTTCTGAACTGTTCACTTCCTTTTTGAACAAGTGTCTAATAAAAAAGATTTTAGCAAATCAATTTGGTTTACGACAGTATTAATCAGTTTTTGGTGTTGCATAGAAATATTTTAGATACTTTACATAGAAGAAAAAATAATGCATTTGTTGTAATTGTTTAAGTATTTGGTCGTGTAGACAGACGAATATGGCGTCATAAGCTTTACACTCTGGAATAAGTAGCAACACGATAGATATAATTACATCGGTTTTTGTGATGCTTTGCCGCCATGTGAAATCTGAAGGAATATATTCTACAATGTTCTATAGCTCTCGAAAATGTAAACGGAGTTGAACAAGGCAATTTTTTGTCTTCCCTCTTATTTCCTTTTTTTTAACAATAGCATTGATATGAAGCGTGAAACAAACGATGCTTATGGTATCTTGATAACTTGTTACAATTTACGTTTGTATTTGTTAAAAATCTCGCGGCACAAAGGGAACTTCAGCTAATGTTAAGAATACATATGCATTGTTTAATATGGAACATCAAATATGTCAAAGTGGACAAAGATATGAAATTGTTGCATTTAATTTCTCATTTCAATTTTCACGTTTCTTATTTCGAACTTGACGTTTTTAACTTACAAGTTGACATGTTTTCTTCCTTATATTTCAATGACATTTTCATATGCGGAATATTGATAACTTTTGAATTAGTATTTGTGGGAAGGGGAGGTGGTAGTAGTGGTGATGGTGGTGTGTTAATTTAAATCAAATAAATTTTGATTCTATATTTTTTTAAAGCCCCTTAGCTGTTACCATAATTTCTGGTTGTATAAATTGTCATCATTTATCTATGACGAGTTGTTATTCGTGGGTTGTGAAAAAAACCTAAAGACTGATTAACACGAACTCCCCCTAAAACCAAACCGAATGATCCCAGATGCTCCAGATGAGTGCCTGATATTATGATCTTTTGGCCTTTTTTTTTTTAATTTGGATTTTATTGTCAACATTGAAAATATTTTTGCTGTTACATTTATGAAGTTTGTTGACTTAGTTGTTCGGTGTCGTATGATTAATTAAAATCGTGTCTAAAAGAAACCAAACATCGAAATACGGTTTTGTACTCTCTCAATTATATTATAATTGTTCAAACAGCTTTTAGGATATACTTTTCTTTTTTATTAACCTCAGATGTGATACTGTGAAAGGCTGTGTAATGCTATTGAATACATCAAGCATTAGTACTGAATATCTACACCACGAAAAAGGTAAAACGATTAACCATTAGTAGATTTTAGTTAGAAATATTCAATTCTGCATAAAAGGTTTTTTTTTAATCTGCTTTTACAATGCTGTATTTTATAACGTTTACGTACTATAATGCAATGCTATTAAATAAAAATTTAAAACGTAAAAAAAGATGCCAATCAAATTAATCCTGAAAGGGGAAACAGATTATCAGCACAGTCCGTACTTTAAACTGAACTTGTACAAAAAAAACCTACTTATTCTTTTATTGGATTGATCATCTGTTACGTTTATATTGCAAGACAAAATATAATGTATGATTAAAAGAAGTCTCACCATTTTTTATTTAAATCATAGAATATGTGTAATCATAATCATTTATAATATAGTTAGTAAAATTCACACAGCTATCGCTTTATTGACAAAACATGTATAGTAGATAATACACTATCAAGGATGACGAAAAATAAAACAAACCAGTGACCATATTAACAAACGTTCTTTTTAAATAAAGATCGAAAGCTATTTAAGCGACACACATTTAAATATAAAATTAACAAACTCTATATAATTATTTTTTTACAGAATAAAGAATTATGTATAACTCAAATTCATAAAACTCAATAGCTATACATTGTATACAAATTTATATTTATCATTAGGAAACATGTCTTCAATGACAAACTCAAACTTAACAGGCGATGCTCTGAAACAGGGAAAGCTGGATAGTAAGTTTTTTAAAATCCTTTTCCTACATGTTTTATATATGGAATATGCACACAATTTTCAAAACTGTGATTTCGCTTGATTAGTGCAGTATGGTATAAAGCTATAAGGGTTGTGGTCATAGTGTCAGTAGTTGTAGTAACAACATGCAAAATGCATCGTCATCATTACTTGTGCTTTATATTGTCTTCTGTAATTTCTGTTTCTGCTATGATGATGTCGGTGTTACAACCCTATATCGCCTTACAAAACAAAGCAAAAAAAAAAAAAAAAATAAAAAAAATAAAAAAAAAAAAAAAAACCAAACAAACAAAAATCAAGGTTTTTATTTTTAAATGGCATTTCTCGATTTCCCCTGTTGTTAAAAATATAATCTACATTTGCAAATATTGATTTCTATTGATATTTAATTCAATTTTGTAATGGGAAATGTTCAAATCAACATGTAATGATTATATAAGAGGCAGGCTAACGGCATAATTTTACATATCTCTATAAATCTTATAATAATAAAGGCTTATGACATATGTCACAAAATAAGACATATCACCCAATTTATTTTGACCATGATTACACATGCTAGACAATCTACTTGTATAAAACCAATTTCGAGGGAAAAATTATATCTGAATTAAAACCATCTTTTACTTCTTTTGTCGATCTCATGTACATAACACGACAAACAAATCATACGGAACAATGTATAAAATTTGAGTATAATCATATTGAGCAGACAAAAGATGATGTTCCTATGTCCTCGGGGTTGCACATATTATATCTGTTCAAGGGCAAAATCTAAAATAAAAAAAAATATCTTATTTTTTTTACTTATTATAAACATCTTAAAGTCACTAGAAATTGAGGCATGAGATGGCTAATAATGGTATCGTCCATTTATTTATATTTCCAAGGAGAGCAGCTCATCAACATTAGTTGGTTGCAACTCTTCCAATGCCTTGTTGATATTAGCCTTTTATATAAACTTTATACAAATTCAACAAGAAATGAAGGTGTAAGAGTGCTTATAAGCAATGTTCAGTAAATATTTAAATTTCAAAGATACATAACGCCTGTAAAATGATTTTCGAACTCACTAAGACATTGCTGATTTTAACCTATGATATAAATTTTATAACAATCCTTCAAAACATGTTTGCTAAGAGCGCTTACAATAAAATGTTCTATATAATTATATTTCCAAGAGTGATAGTGCTTTTTAAAACAGATGATCGGCACTTATTTTCAAAGTTGTTCGAGATATTGCAAATTTTAACCTTTGGTATTCATTTTATGAAAATGGGAAAGAATTTTGCACGTGAGAGCTTTCAAGACTAAATTGACGGACGCACGAACGGACAGACGGACGCCCAATATATTATTTGTCCCCAGCAACACGTCGAGAGGAGAAAAATAACAGATTTGCATTAATCTGTTCATTTTCTAAAATATAACATGTTTTGAATTCAAGCACAGCAGACAAACACGTGGTCGATCATTGATGTTTGTTTACCTAAATTGCAAGTTTATGTTACTAAATACGTAGAAATAACCACTATTGTGTTATCATCGTTTAACAGCAAAAAAAAAAAAAAAAAAAAAACTCACAGTAGCTGCATATCCAAAATGCACTATTCCATATAGAAACTAAATATCAAAATACTTTGCGAATTTACTAAATTAATAACATTATTTATTACAATTTAATATCCACTGACCATAATATATCAAAATGTTAAGACTTGTGGATGCAGTAAAGTTTATTTTTAACTAATTAACTAGAGATTATTTTGCAAATCAAAAACGGAAAACGACGAATAATTTGTCACAAAGTCTTCTGAAAAATATTTGGTTTGTTCTACCGAAAGTCTGTTGGTTTATTGTCTCGCCTTCGAAGCATGGCGTGCAGAAAATGAGACACATATATGTATATCCGGCGGTTACGGCATCAAAAGCGATAGTTCTGTGTATAAAGCCTCATATTTCAGAAGCAGAGAGAGGTTTAATATCGTTCTATACAGAAACACTATGATCCGTAATTCCGTTTGGGATAACTGTGTTGTGTTTTGTATCATTTTCATGCGATTCCTTTAGTTTTTATGTGTTAATTTGATTTCTCTTCTGTATAAACGTACGAGATTTGAACATCGGTAAACTACAGTTGCCTTTACATCATATATGCTTAAATTAGTATACATTATACAGATTGTATGACTTGCAAGAACTTCTTTAGCAAGTGTTAAGCAATTTAATATCATTCTCAAAGGACGTTTTCTACTTTTTATTCATATCCCTTGTCTAATTTTTAATAAGATAAAATGAAATGAAAAAATGGAAAAAGTCTTTGATATTAATGTTAAATACTTGTGATAATATATTTTGTATACGAAATCTATAAATAATGTTTTAAATATAATGGATGATTTCTAAGGTTGTTTAATTTCAATTGAGGACGTTTTTAATGTTTATAAATCTAAACATGCTATATCGTTGAATAATTTGCAAAAAAAATAGAAAAATAAAAAATACATCATTCCACTTTTGGCATTAGTCCGTTTGTTAACTATGTACATGACTACAAGATAATCAAATTATATGATATCGCTTGATATCAATCCGATATAGTAATATACTTGATATAAGATAACGAACATTATTACCAAACGACATCCCAGTTGAACGGCAAAAGCCTGAATCTGACAGATAAAGGTCAATCTGTCGACACAAAAAGTACCCGTATGTAAAAGGTTTACGCCCACAAACAGCGCCACCTTTAATTTTTTCTACAGCATTTTTTTTGCATTTGATATTTTTCATATACATGTATGTACAAAGAGAACAATAGAGTATATATGAACATACATGGATTTAATTCCCACCCTAGGCATTAATTTTAATACTTAAAGGTTGGAGCAAGTAGGGCAGATTGCAATTGGCCATAATGTGTCTAAAAATGCTGTTTGATGTGGCCAAGTTCTCAACATCCTTTTTTCTAAGTATACAGCAGCTTCTCTAAGGATTAGTAAGGGAACACTTTATATGTAGTCCTGTCTTTTGTGTCTCTCTTATTTCCTTATATATTATTATATTATTATATTTCTTATATTCTCATGTACATAAGCTAAAAAGCTACAATTCCTCTTTTTCCTCATCTGCCTGAAAACAATGAAATATATTCATTCTTGATGTCTGTAAAGTGACGTTTAACTGCTAACAGACATGACACACACATTATTTGGACTCTGATGGATAGTTTTTAGTCTGTTATCTCATTGGCAATCATACCACATCTCTTTATATTAGTACAGGTTAAGTATTTAAAGTACTAAGTGACTAACAAACATTAAATTATTTGAAAGAAAAATTTTGCAAAGATTTCAGTTTACATATATCAACAATAAAATTGTGTCATTATGTTTATAAAGACCACTGAAATTGTGAACTGCCATGAGTGTCTTGCGCAAAATTAATAAGTTCCCTAATGAATTCTCTGCTAATGAATAGTATATAGATGTTTAAAAAAATGAATAGTATATAGATGTTTAAAAAAATGAATAGTATATAGATGTTTAAAAAAATGAATAGTATATAGATGTTTAAAAAATAACAAATGTATGTACTGATTCCAGATTAATATTTTGGGCTATTAGTTCAAATATAATTGATGTGTTTTAATTAATGGAATAACAACTTATTGCAATAATCATGATGATACAAACTAGCATTCTGATATGTGATACATATATAGCTTTATGCAGCTTTTTTTCTGAATTTGTAATGTATGCCATAAAAAAAGAGATTTTTGGTAAAAGTTAGCAAAATTGTCAGTATTTCAACCACATTCATGACATTTAGGCCTAGGAAACTTAAATTTTGAAGCGCAGAGATTGACAAGCTAAGTCATGACTGTCAATTCAGAAATTATCATGAGGTTTTTATTAAAGTAAATAATGCGATTAAATTGATGATCGCAATAAAAAGAACTTGCATTCTGATTTGATACTATGAGATTTTTTCTGATATATTAGAATAATAAATATCTCATTGCTGTCCATTCTTCAAAAAATTCCTGAACATACTTTTCTTAAGTCAGCTTTGTTTTTGTCTTAGACTACTATAACATGGGAAGTGACCAATCTCTACGTTATAGTAGTCTCAAGTTTTTGTTTTGTAGTTCAATTGACTATGCATTTTAGAGCAGTTAAATATGTATTTGGATTACATTTGAAGTTGATTCAGTATATTTTATGACATAGTAACACTCTTTTATCTAAACAAAGCATTTTAGACTTTATTTACTGATCAGCTTAATTAATCATTCATTATCCAATCAATAATTTAATTAAAAGACTCAACAGTTGTGTGTAGGACTTTTGAATTCAAATTGAAGGGAAAAACATCAAAAAGTTTTAATAATAGGAATGATGTAAACTGCATGATAACAGATTGCAATACAGCTTTTTGTTCAGTTTTCTTTGTGTTGATTATAATGTTTTAAATCCCTTTCAGGACTTTTGGATGTTCAGATTTTTTCTCTTGCGAGCAACATAACTTGTACATCTTATATAGTTTCTTATCTTGGGGGCGGATTCAGCCAATTTTAAAAGGGGGAAGGGGGGGGGGGGGGTGTTGGGGGTGTTCCCAACCCAGGATAAAGGGGGGGGGGGGGGTCCCACTATATGTCCACATTATACATTCTGTCCACTGCAAATTGACTTAGTTTTCATTAGATGTCAATGTTCACAATTTTGAAGCATGTATTGTCTACATTTTCTTTTTTCCATATTGTATTTTAATGTAAAGCAAAGTTAAATTGTAACACAAGTTCTGCTGACAAATGACTGATAAACCCCTCTTGTATGTAATTTTTTGGCATGGAACCCCCCCTCCACCCACCCCCCCCCCCCCACCCCCCCCCCCACCCCCACCCCCCTTCCCTAACCCCTTTTTATAAAGACCTGGATCTGCTGACAAGTTCTTGCTTTTCTCAGAATTTGCCATCGTTA